GTGCTTGGAAAAAATCTTTCATTCCTTTAGAGACAGCATGAAAAGTCAGCTGAGTACAAAACATAGAGAGGAAAACAAGAAGAAAAGGGACAAGAAGAGAGGGACACAACCTAGAACAGATAATGGATGTCTATTCTATTAACATCTCTATATCTGGAGAATGGGGCTGTTTTATGTCTTCTCCATTCAGGGGCCCCCTGCCTGTCTTTGCCTAGGGCCCCATATTTCCTAAAGCCGCCCTGGCTAACGCTAGCTGTTATTAGCTGGAAGGACAGCCTGATGGCTGCGGTGGGAATTGGATCAGCTGACGGCTCAGTCAAACGCACTCATCCGTTTTTAATAGTGACGTTATTAAATGCTAATGTGGCTAATAAAACACGTTCTGGTGCAGCCTGGCTGTAGCTGACTACTGGAGCGGGAATAAAACCACTAAAGAAATGATGAAGCTAAATGAGCAGAAAGTCAAATGAAGCAAACGATCCACATTTATTTTTGGTAAATGGGAGACAGAGCATCACGTTTTGGGAGAAAAGGATCCATAATTCATCCATCAGTCGTAACATTTATCAGGAGCTAATTGACGGGTAAATGGAAGTAAACAGTGGACCATTAAACAAAAGCAAATATAATAAAATAATAGTTATTGAATCAGCTTCATGGTTCCATACGTGATATTAACACTTTGACTGTTTCTCTAAAGGACGACCAAAACCTACGGAGGGCTGGAACTGCCACAATCAGAATTAAAAGCCGTAATATAAACCTATCCCAGTTAGAAAACAGATTTAAAACTAAAAGGTGATATTTATGAATCTACCTGCTGCCGGCCGGTTAGCGGCTTTTACATTCGACTCTCCAGGAGAAAAGCGGTGACCTCCATGTTGCTTCTGGGTTCAGCACCAACAGACTGAGTGACCTTCGCTCTCCTTTTTCTTCTATTATATTTTATTTTTTCAGCTTGGATCTAAGAAACGTAATGCTGAGAAAACACCATTTATCAGTTGCACTAGACTCCAACCAACAGTTCTTATTGGTGCAGAAATGTGTCAGTTTATAATAACCAGAGGTAATTAGATGTATATTGTTTTACCCATAAAAATATATAAAACTATAAATATTTTATGGTTTTGAAAAGTTGTTTTTATGAAAAGCTTTATGTAACTTTGTCCTTTGAAGAATATTCATTGTATTTAGAGAAAATCTTTTAGTTTTTTCCAGATTTTCCTGATATAGTAGGTTTGAATCCGACCTGTGGTCCTTTCATTTTTCAGATTCAATATTCCAGAGAGTTGGCCGTCCTTGTTTATGTCGTCCTAATAGTGAATTTAATGTTCATCAAAATCTAAATATTTTTAAATATTCTTTTTTTTCTCTTAACTAAAAAACGACTTTCCCTTGAAAGAAAATTGCTACGGTATTAAAATGGTACTGAATGTTTTTCCTAGCATCAATATCAGGTTAACATTTTACTGTCATGCCGAACCGGATCCGACGCAGCAGTTCTGGGAACAGGGGCGGATTTAGGAAATTTGGGGCCTTAGGCAAAGACAGGCAGAGGCCCCTCTGAATGGAGAAGACA